CACTCACTGCCTGGGCCTCCACCCAGCAGTGATCCATCAGCACTCTCTGGTCACACCTTTGCAACACGCACAGTCCCTCCCTTCTCCCCACCCCTGGCCCATGGCAGATGGCTGTGTTCTCAGGACTTCCGGCTGGACCTGCCTCCTGCTGGTCATCGGCCTTTCGGCTGTTGGGAAGCACCAAGAGTCCTGCAAGGCAGTCCCCAGCCAGCAGGTGTGCCCCATGGATTCAGGCATCCACACTGCCTGAGAGGCCCACCCCAATGCCACTGTGCCTCCATGACTGCCCCTCTGGACGTCACTGGAGCTTGTGGCCTGTGCGAGGAACAAGTGTCCCCCGTACACCTCAGTGTTGACCCGCCGCCCTGTGGATTCTGCCCAGGCGTGAACCCCTCGGCAGCTCTGCTCTGAACCTGATGGCTCCCCAGAGCATACACCTCAGTTCAAAGGGGCCAAGCGCGCCAGGGGCTGCTCCAGGGTGGTCCAGCCGTGCACTCCGGTGCCACCTTCCCTGGGGGGAAGAAGGCGTTTCTGGGCAGAGTTTGGGCTTGGTGCCTGAGCTCCCTCCCACGCTGGCCGACCTTGGGCAATTCCCACTAAGGGGGCCAGTGGGTTGGAACCCAGGAGGGCTTTCTGGAGGAGGAGATGCTAGATGGTGACCCCTGGGCCAGTCTAGGACAGCAGGCAAGGCCACAGGAAAAAGGCAGGCAAAGGTTCCATGTCCCTGCATAGTACTGACTGCAGAGGAAGAGGGCGGAACCCAGAGGTGCCTTCCTGCCCCTACCTGGGCTGCCCACGAGGCTGACCCACATCCTGAACCCAGGTGCTGTCCAGCAGCCCCAGATGGGCAATAGCAGAGCTGGGGGCAAGGGCAGTGCCCAGGTCCAGCTTCAAAGCCACAGGGGTGAAGGGCCCCTGTTTGTCCTTTCGGGGACTCTTAATCATACTTTTAATCCCCTGTCCTCCCACCAGGCTGCCAAGAGTCCATCAGGTAGAAATCTCCAGTGGGGGGCTCCCTAGCTGCAGTGGCTCCCACCAGTCTGAGGCAGGGTCTGGTGGTGGAGTGGGGTACCCAGTAGGCCAGTGGGCATCGGCATCTGGCCGAGGCTGGTAGGAAGAGGGAGGGAAGAAGGGAGGCCACAGGTGCCCATTTCAGAGCCCTGCTGCCCTTGATGCTGCTCAGGGGCTAGCCAGCTCCATGGTATGGCAGTGGCTCAAATCTAACCTGGCGACACCAGGCCTCCTGAGGGGACCCGGGGGCAGAGCCTGCTGGGCCTAGGCTACTCAGGAACCCAGGGACAGTCAAGGACACCCAAGAGGTCAGCCTGGACCCATACTGGCCATGGTGGGCCCAGATCCCCTCACAGCCTTGGCCTTGATGTCCCTTGTAGATATGGACCCACAAATACGGGTCAGGGGACACACCACGGCTCACCAGTACACCTGCACACACCCAGAGCATGAACTTCAGTTCAAAGGGGTCAAGCACACAGGGGTGCAGACGGGCCTGTCTGTGGCGGTGGGAGACATGAGGCCGGGGAAAGTGTTCCAGGTCAGACTCCGGGGATGGGGGTCAGTTCCCCAGAGAACCTGGAGGTCTTTATCCCAGCCCTTCCCTGGCCCCAGCTATTCCTATTCCAGAAAAATCCAACCAGGATCTGTCCTGAGTGTACAGGACCAAGTGGACCGAGATGTGCTTCCTCTCCAACTCAGGGGGGTACAGTAGGCTGGTCCCCATGGGGGGCAGATCCTCCCAGGTTCTAGCATGGGCACAGAGCAGTCCTGTCCCCATCCTGCCTCGCTATGCTGAGTGGGAGGGGCGTGAGTGGTGCCTGGTGACCCACAAACTATGGTGAGAGGCCAGGGGGAGGGCTTGGCTCTACAATTTGGTGGGGCCTGCCAGGCCTGATAGGGTTGTGGGCAGGGGCCCAGGACCAGAGGAGGAACAGCCATCACAGGTGAGGTAGGGAGGGAGAGCAAGTGAGCAGAGCCCAACCTGGGGCTTTCCCAGACCAACCTGGGCACCCGCCCGCGACACAGACATGGCCCTCTCTGAGAATCAGAGGACAAGTAAGAATGAGGAAAGGGGACCAGGGGCCATTCCACCAGTTTCTGAGATGGACCATACACACGTAGCTCTGTTTCTTGGTATTCAACTGGACCTTATACCTTGGAATCACGAGGCTGTTGGCTGGCAAGTTCTGTGATCCGATTCACTTCCACGGTTCCTCAGCCTGTGAGGGCCCAAGACTGTGCCAGGCCTGTCCTCTCTGCATCCCATACCTCACTCTCTACCCAGAGATCCCAGGACCCTGATCTGAGGATGGCTGCTCAGTGCACTGGGGCCCTCTCCTGTGAACTGCAGCCTAACCAAGCACCCGAGGTGGGCACTCTGGGTGATATGCCAGATGCCAGGACACAGGGCTATGTGGATCATGCTTTGGCCGGTCCCTACCCCTGCCCACAGGCAAGCTAGAATCTGCACTTACATGGGGTGCACAGGAGCAGGGGTCCCACAGCCGAGCAGGAAGTGCTGGCCTGTGGCCTGACCCAGCTCTCATGCAGGTTTAGCCCTGAGCCTCAATTCAGACCTCCTGCTCCCAAGAACTGGGCTCCCTGGGGGGCTGGAGGGGAGAGGCCTGTGGAGGGAGGGCTGGTTCTGCAGACAGCCCAGGTGTGTACAGGCTGATGGTCATGGGGTCTCTACCCCCAGACCTCCAGGCCTGCCTTCAGTGCCCTCTAACAGGCTGCATCTCTGGTGGCAAAAGGGAGCAGGAGCTGGGCCTGCCACACTAAGCAGGAGGAGGTGCCACTGTCCTTCCACAGCCACCCCCCACAGCTGGGCTACCTGCAGGGCACCTTCCCTAGTGGGGAGCAGTTGACCTCATCCAGGCCCAGCCTCTGCAGTTAGTGAAGAGCGTCCCTCCCACATCTCTGGGGAGGCTGGGTGTCAGAACATGGGGCCTGGAGGCAACAGGCTGGAAGCACAGGGAAGTCCTGGGTGGCAAGAATCCCGCGCCCACTGGTGAGAGCTGGTCGGAGCTGAAGCACGTCTCTTGGCGTGGACGTATCCAGACGCACGCACGCATGCTCCTCTTGGCCAGGTCACATCAGCACCAGACCGGCTCTCCAACAAGCCGCCCCAACTCCGCAGCTGTGCCCTGGGGCTAACCAGTCCCGCAGAGGCCCCACCCTTCCTGCCGGCTTCATTAAAATGCAAACCCCCTCGGCCCTGGAACCTGGAAACTCCGGATAAAGGTGCTAAAGCTTCCCAGGGTATCTGCACTTCACAGCAAAGGGATGCGCACGGGATTCCGGGTTCCAAGGCCCACGGCCCTAGGGGCCTATGGCCTTGCCACTCAGTCTACACGATGACTAAGGGATCAGCCCTAGGCTGGAAGCTACTCCTTCTGAGAATCTCCTGTGCTCGTAAGGGCCGCGAAGCCAGAGGAGGGCGGAGTAGAACCCCCCTCCCCCACGGCAGCCCCGCAATTCCGGGCAGAGGTGGGAGGTGACACCAGGTCATCCCCTTCCTTGCTGCAGTCTCTTCACTTCCTTGTCACAGGGGCACCTGGCTGTGGTCAAGCCTGCTTGTGTCCTGGGGTTCACAGCCACTACTCTTCTGGGGTCATGCAGACGTTAAGAAGGGTCCACTGTGGCCTGGAACCCTCTCCCCTGGGTCTTTGACTTCGACCTTTGCTCCTGCAGCCCGATGCCCTGTCGCCCCAGAGAGCAGGGCCAGTACTGTCCTGACTTCCTCTCTGACTCACCCCTGATCCCAGAAGGGCATGTCACCCTCTCCCTCTCCCTGTCTTCCCTTCTGGGTCCTCCCCTCCGTCCTGGCCAGGTGCTGCCAACCAGGGCCTGTCTTTCCTAGCCCGAATGACCCAAACCCCATCCAGCTGGGCCACAGGTCTCTCCCAAGCGCCCTGTGTCCCAGGGCAGGCCTTCTCATGAAGCCTGAATATTTCGTGCCTAAAGTCCTCCCCCAGCCCCAACAGCTTCACCCTCAATGGCTTCTCTGACCTGGCCTCTGGCTGTTCCTCTGCTTCCTTTCTGCCCCAGAACCTCTGTCCAGACTCAGGACACTTAACACGTGCCACTCCTGGTGCAGATGTGTCTTGCAATCCCTGTGCTTGGGTAAGGGTTGATATCTTTAGCTGGTCGAGTGCTCTCAACCCTCCCTGAAGCCTAAACTAGGGCAGCCCCCACCAGCACCACGGCCTCTTGCAACCCAGCATCTGACTTGCCTGGTGAGCAGCAGCCAACACTCCTTAAGGAACAAGTTAGTGAGGGGTTAGGAAGTGAATGCCCTGGGGCCCTGGGTCTGAGGTTGAGGGTCTTTTTGTTGGGAGGGGGTGCTCATTAATACAAAATCAAACAGGTGCACTTACTATCTTCAATTAAAGTCATGAGTCTGCCCCCCTTCGTCTCCCTTTCCTTTCTAAGCTCAGACTTCTGCCAGGGAGGGGCTGCGTCTGCAGAAGCTCCTACCTATACAGCACCTGTACACCACCCTCCAGAAACCCCTCGTCTGGGCCACCTGTCAGTGTCTCCCAGAAGTGCTCATGGGTGGCCCTGCACACTGGAGCCAGTTCAGCAACTGCCTGCCACCCAACTCACCACACAAGACCCTCCTACACCCACCCGCCCCGATTCTGGCCTCCACAAGCGTGACTGGGCAGGCCCCCTGAGCCCACTGCACATCCTGGAGGGATGGAGGCGGGCTGGTGTGTGAGTGCAGATGGGCAGCGCTCCCAGAACTCCACCTCACACCTGGGGGGCCACCTGGATACTGTCTGTGGCCTCACCTTGTCCCCACACGGCACAGCACTGTGCTCATCCACACACTGGGCTCCTCCCCAAAAAGCCTGGGGCCCCAGCTCTCAGTGCAAGGCCACCTAAGGGAGCTGGAAGCCTGTGCCCCACCATGAAGCCAAGCAGGGCGCTGCCAGGCTGTAGGGCTGGCAGCTGGGGAGGACAGACGTGGCCCTTCTTTTAAAGTTTCCAAACTTTATTTCACGGTGCTTGACAAGACACACACTGGAGTTAGTAAGGATACACCAGGGCAGTTCCCCGCAGCCCCCCACCCCCAGCAGAGGATGGCCAGGCTGCCAACTCCACCCCCGTTGTCTGGTCTTACTCCCAAGAGGACTGGGAAGGGCATCCAGGCAGGGAGTGGGGGTAGACGTGGCAGTTTAAGGCATTTCTGACTCTGTGGCCACCTCTGCCACCCCTGCACCTACACTTTGGTCTTGTTCAGACACTGGCTAGACCCCAGTCACTTTCAGATAATCACTTCTCATACTGGCCCTGATGAGGATGCTTAAATGCTCTGGAGTCAGGACAGGAAAGATAACAGCTCTTCTGCTTTGGGCACCAAATAAAACCCATGGTCCAAGAACATGTTGGGTGGCCAGGCCTGGACATCCATCACTCCAGAGGAGGACACAGGCAACAGAGGTCAACCACATCATGCACAGTGGCCCATTCCCTCTCAGGGGCTGCGCACTGGGCCTGGAGTGTGTGTGTGGGGGCCAGGTCCCTGGCAGAATGTGACACCAAGGGTCACGTCATTTCTAAGTCACAGTATTGGCACAGGAGTCCTGGGGCAAGGCTAGCCACAGCACAAAGGAAGAAACAGCAGCTTAAGTCAGGACCCAGAAAGGTCCCGTGGGGGTGTCAGTGGAACGGCCCCCTCTAGCCTTGGCAGCCCCCTCCTGCTCTGGGACAGTAGGCTTCGCCAAACGCAGCAAGGGTGAGGTCGGGAGCAGGGTCTGCCAGGGGGCCAGGTACAGGAGGCAAGTGTGGGGGCCGACACACGGGGACACACAGTGCAAAGGGCTGGTGTGGTGCCCTGAGGCAAAGGGGCACGTCCTGAAGCTGCCACACCACCCCTGGGAGCCTCTTGATACCAGTCTGTCTCTGCAGCACAGCTGCCTGGACGGAAGGGAGGACAGGCCAGCAGTCCCTCTGGCCAACACACAGGCAAGAAAATCATATCAAAAAGCAACAGTTTACAAAAATAGAAAATAATTACAGTAGGGTGGGCAGATGGGGGTGCTCCGGCGTCAGTTTAGGAGGCTGGGCAGGGCCGCAGCTCTGGCTTGGTGAGGGCATCTTCCAGCAGGTGCAGTGGACGCTGGCCTACCACCACATCCCGGAGGCAGCCCACAAAACCTGTTCCGTAGGCCTTTGGCAGGGCCTGGCCCACAGGCAGCTTCTGCAGGCCCCCTACAGGACAGACAGCAGGAGATCACACAGCTGTGGCTAGGTGATGCTGATGGGCAGAGGGCCACCACTGCCCAGGGAACAGGTGGGTAGTAGGCAGGCCCACCCAGAGGACCCTGTCCTCTGGCCTTGTGCCTGGGGCCAAGATGGGGGAGGACGCAGATGGACAGATGGAGTCTGTCCCTTAGATAAACTGAGGCCCTTGGATGACCCCTGGCCTGACTCTGGAGCACTCACCGAGCCAGAGAGTTCCATCTGTGTCCAGCTGTGTGGCACCCAGTGGGGAGGAGCCAGTCACGGGGGCCTCATTGCCCACCTGGAGGGAACCTTCTCTCTGCTCCCTGAGGGTGCAGGTGGGGCAAGATTATCAGGGGTCCCTCCCCACCTCCTCCAGATCAGAGCCCCCCATGCCTTACAGCTGCCACAGGCTGGGCCCACACCAGGGTCACCCTGGAGCCCAGGATGGTGGCAGTAATAAGCCTCCTGCCACAACTGCTGCTCCTGCATCTTCTGGTCCTCCCTTCCTCTCCTCCCCACGACAGCGACCCTGGGTCAGGCAGTTGGTGACCAGGAGTGGCTGGGAAAGGGCAGGCACTGCCTGCTGTTCTTAGGGGGCCCCACTCACCTGTGAGCCCTGACTCGCAACCAGCGGTTGGTGTTGACCCTCACGGTGGAGCGCAGCACCACAGGCTGAGAGCCCAGGTCATAGGCCAGCTGAAGGTGTCCATCCACGATGGCTAGCGCCATGTAGTCCGCACGCTCGGTGGCCTTGCCACTCCACAGCACCAGCCCCTGCGTAGCTTCAGTGCGCAAGCTGAGCTCGAAGTGGTTGGTCTGCAGGGCTTTCTCGCTGGAGGGTGAAGGGGTGGGTCAGGCCTCCAGGAAGGCGGCAGGGTGGGTGGGGAGGGCGGGAGGGCAGAGCCTGGACTTCACAGGCCAGGGGGCTGGTGGCTGGGTAAGGGAAACACCAACGGTGGGCGGAGGAGAGACAGACAGATGGAGGGACTGGCAGAGGTGATCAGAGATCGAGGATGACAGGCAGGCACACCGTGGGGTGACAGCCACTCTGCCCCTCAGGCACTGCCACATGCTCACCTGTTTAGGGCCCCAGAATCCGGAGTTTCGGGGCTTAGAAACAGGAAGAGAGGGAAGCAGTGAGCCAGGGACAGACAGGCCAAGCACAGGCCCAAGTCCCATTTCCAGCACTGGGAGAAGCCAGCAGACACCTGGACACGCGTGGCCCTGGGCCCCACCGATGACCCACCAGAGAGCCATAGAAGTGACATGTGTGCAACACGCGTGTGCAGACACAGCTGGTGGCATGGCCCAAGCTAGTGCAGAGTTCAAGGAATGAGACGTGAATGGCAGATGGAAGCAGAAGGCTCATCTGCCTGGGGGTGGCCCCGAAGCCCCAGCACACATGCATGTGCACAGAACACGGACACACAAGCAAAGACACGCTCCTACACGCGTGAACTCACACACGATCCACACAAACACGCCTTACATCTCTGCACACAGACACAGGCACACGCAGGAACACCTTTACTCACACATACAGATATGTCCAAGTGTGTGCACGCACACACAGGCACAGGCACAAGCACACACTCACGCCGGCCTGGGGTAGGGTGGTGGCTGCTGGGTGGATGAGGCACGTGTCCTGGGAGGGGGTACCGTTTCCCAGGGAAGAAGCTGAGCCTCACACAGCACTAAAGGCCCTAACCCCCACCTCCATCCAGGAGGGACATTCTGCCCTTGGAGGGGCTCAGGACTGTGCTGTGGCAGGGTCAGGGAAGCACAGATGGGCATGGATGAGTGGAAGGTGCAGGTGGGGGCCGAGGGGCTACTTACACTGGGATCTCATTGGTCAGTTCGCTTGGAAACAAAGAGACAGAGAGGTGAGAAGGAAGGAGGGGGAGGGGGGGTGGACACTGGGGCTTCCCGCCTGGCCAGAGCATGGTGTCCTGCCTTGTGGGGTGTGTACAGACAGGACCAGACAGACAGCGGAGGGTGCACGATGTGCCGGCTCCTGGGCCATGCATTACCTCTCGGTCACAGCGTTGAGGTACTCGATGTAGGTCCTCCCATCGAAGGCCAGAGCCTCGAGGTCCCCTGCTGACTTCTCAACCAGCCCTGGGAGACAGGCAGCGTGAGGTGGGCCGCAGGTGCAGGCCTGCAGCCCTGGCCCAGCCCCGGGTGCTCACCCTTCTCGCAGTGTGGCCCCGAGAAGCCCATGGGGCACAGGCATGTGTAGGTGGCTTCCTTTGGGAGACACAAGGCGCCATGGAGGCAGGGGTGGCCTGAGGCCTGGGTACAAGGGTGGTCTGTAAAGGATGAGACGTCCACCGCCTGCACCACGTGCTCCTGGGCCAACAGCTGGCGGCCTCCCAAGGAGACCTGCAGGGCACAGGGTGAGAGCCTGTGTCTCAGCAGCTGCGCCCTCCCTGCCCCGCAGTCAGCCCCGGGCAGCCCCTCCTCCCCCCTGTGGAGAGCCCTGGCCGGAGGGCCCCACCCCATGCCTCGCACCAGCTGAACGGCACCGTCGAAGCCAGAGGATGCTGCAGCTGCCCGGGCCAGCTTGCTGAAGTCGGGGGCACCCCCGATGTAGAGTGGCTCCTTCAAATTGAGCATGGTATGCGGCACCTGCAGAAGGCGCTGGATGAGGGTGTGCAGGGCCTACCCACTGGGCAGGGGCAGGTCTGAGTCCCAGACCAGGGTGCCCATCTGCCTGACACCCACACCCCAGCCCCTAGCTAACTAGCAGGCAGCATTAACCACACAGAAATGGTGGACAGGGGCCTTAATGGGGAGGAGCTACTCTAGGGTGGTGTCAGACAATGAGCAGTATGAGCAGCAGACAATACCTTGCGGGATTTCTGACATCCGGAGAGCATGGGGGTGCAGAGTAAGAGCCAGAGAGCAGGGCAGAGAGGAGACAGACCAGGCACAGGACAGACGAGAGAAAAGAGTTTTGTAAGAACTGGCATGGGGGCTGCCAAGCCCCAGGAGGAGGAGGAGGAGGAGGCGTAGGAGCAGGGCAGGGTCGGGGACACTTGGGCCCTCCTCACACCTCAGACACTCACCGGGGACTCTCCCAGCACGCGGGGCCCATCACCCACACGCAGGGCGCCCTTACGGCCGTTTCTCTCCACCGAGACCCTAATCCAAGAGCCCAGGGCTATGGGTTCCTTGCTCCTGTGAGGAAGAGGCGGAGTGACCATGTCAGGAGCCCCGACCTTACCCCTGTCCAGGCCCAGGCCTCCAGGCCCTCCCTGCGGGCAGCCCAGGACGGAGCCCACAGCCCTCATGCTTGCGCACCTGATGACCGCTGCCCCTTTGCCCAGGTCATAGCGGAATTCCAGGTGCTGGTCATGCAGGGCCAGTGACACGAAGTCCCCTTTGCCATCTGTCTTTTGCCCATTGTACAGGAGCAAACCGCTGGGTCCTCGGGCCAAGAACACCACCTCGAGGGCCATCTTCTCCCTGGGTCACGGGGGTCAGGGTGTCTCACTGCCCCTTCCCTACAGGCTGCCTCCCCTCCTCTGCCTCACCTACCCTACTGACCCCAGGTCTCTCTCAAAGGTGTGCAAGCCTCTCAGCTCCAGGTAGGAAAAGCCATGGAAGTCCGCCAGGAAGGGCTGGGCACTACCATCCATCTCAGACACTGCAGAGGGAGGACAGGGCTCACTCAGGCGGTGTACCCACTGTCCTGCCCAACTCGGCGGAAACCCCCAGGACCCAAATCCCAGCTCTTCCTGGACCTGAAGATCGGGCCACAATTCAAACTGAACATTTGACCCTGGCTTCTTGTCCCCTCCCGACAGCCTGGTGCCCCTACCTGTCTGGCAGAGAGTGCCTCTACGTCCCGGGGGGCACTCGCACTTGGCCCCGCCCTTGGGTAGCACGCGGCAGGGGGCTGCACCGTGGCAGGGGTTCGGCTGGCAGGGGCTCTTCTCTTCCGCACAGGTTGGGCCTGGAGGGAGATGGAGGTGAGTTCCAAGAAGGCAGGCCCCCTGACACCTGGTTCCCAGCCCTCACCCGGATCCCAGCCTGCCCTCACCAAAGCGGCCGGGTGGACACTGGCAGCGAAACATGTCGTCTCCCAGGGCCTGGCATGGTGCCCCGCCATGGCAGGGGCTGGGCATGCAGGGGTGCTCTCCACACTCTCCCACCCCGGAGCTGCGGGACACCACGCCCTGCCAGGGGCCCAGCTCCAGGCGCTGATTGTTGACATCCAGCAGGCGGATGCAGCCCTTCAGGCCCACGCCAACCGAGGTCCGCTCATGGGCCCTGCCACCAGGAAGGGGTCAGAGTAAGCTCAGGCAGAGGCCTCCTTCTCGCGGCCAGAGTCACAGGGGTCCAGTTAGGGTCAGAAGTCAGAGCCGCTCCATCCCATCACCCTTCAGACAAAGCCCCACAGAGAGGACCCACCAGAGGGTGGGGCCGAGATTAAGGGTTAGGACCGGAGGTAAGGGTCAGCCCAGGCCCTCCTCACTCTGGCCCCAAAGGTCAGCCACCCGGATGGGACAGGGAAGGGCCAGGAGCCCCGCTGAGCTCAGGGTCCTAGCCACACCCACACCGTTCTCCTGATCCCACTTGCTATCCCGTGGAGGCTGCTCTGGTGGAATGGAATCCCAGTCTGATGCCCGCTCCACCCTCTTGCTCACACGTCAGCCTGGTCCTCTGGGACTCCGCCCACAAAGAGGTCGGTATCTAGGTTGAGGCCATCCGTGCCACTGGGGCTCTCGCCCAGAACTGGGGTCTCGCCATCCACAGACAGTGTGCCTTGGCGCCAGTGCCGTGAGAGTTCTAGGCGATGCCACCGCCCTGGTTCCACAGGCACCGAGCTGGTCAGTATTGCTGGTCCAGAACCTGTGTCAAACCTGGAGACCCCAGCAGGTGCTTAGAGCCCTGGCCTGGCTCCACCCACAGTCTGGAAAGGAACCACCCACAAATTCCTCCCTGGAAGGCCCTGGCCCTGCCCACCCGCCCTCTCTGCACCTGAGCTGCACGCGCCCACCGAGCAGCGCCAGGGCCAGGAAGTCCTTGCCACGGGCGTTGCCGTTGTACAGCAGCAGTCCCTGAGGCTCCAGGGATCGGAATTCCAGCGCCAGGCGCAGCGTGTGATATGCCCGGAGGGTGGGGAAGGCCAGAAAGGAGGCACCCCCAAACGCAGGAACTGAGACAGAGGGGCGCAGCACTGCAGGGGAGAGGGAGGGTGAGCTGGAAGAGGACCCAGGACCCTGCCCCTACCACCTCCTGCCGGTGGCTTATCTCTGCCCTCCCTCCTGGCCCCCATCAGCCTCCCTGTCCTTCCAGAGAGGTGGACAAAAGCGCCTACCGTCCTCACAGAAGGTGCCTCCCCGGCCTGCCGGGCAGCTGCAGGTGAAGCCCCTGCCAGAGTCCTGGTCCTGGCAGGTCCCCCCATGCAGGCAGGGCTGAGAATCACAGGACCTGGGGTGCTGCTTGGGATTGGGGAGCAAAGGCCAGCGTCCAGCCACATGGCCGGGAGCTGTGGTGGGGGGCCGGTGTGTGTGTGTGGGTGCTGTGGTCCTTCCAGTGGGCCTGCTGGTGTGACTGGGGGGGACCCGAGGGGTCACGGAGGAAGGTGGTGGGCCCACAGTGGTAGCTCTGGCCGTGGCCACTGCAGCGGTGGCTCCTGTGGTGGCTCCCGTGAGGAACGCAGGAAACCAGTCTGTGGGGCAGGGAGTGGTCAGGGTCTGCAGGGAGCAGGGGCGGGGCGGTGGAGGGCGGGAACAGACCGGGAGGCCTGGCCTGGCGCTCACCGAAGTCCATGAACCGCACGTGCTCCTGCAGAGGCCTCCGCACCGCCAGGGCCCGGCGCCTGGAGGCCTGGATCTGGCGCAGCAGGGCCCGGCCCACGTCAGGTGCCCTGAAGGCTGTGGCTGGGGAAGAGCGGGTACTGAGCCTGGCCTGGCCCTGTGCAGCCCCTACCCATCACCTCCTGGGAGAGACTCAGGGCGGGGGTCTCACTGGGGTCAAAGTGCACATCCACAGTGGCACGGACTGATCTGCCAGGCCCCAGGTCCCGCAGGTGGACACTCCGGAAGTCCTTTTTGACGTCTGAGTTCCGGAAAAGGGCGTCCAGCTGTGGGCAGGGAGTGAGTGAGGACACTGGACACCGCCCAACCCACTGAAGTCGGTCCCCTGGCACTGCGGGGTTCCTGCCTGGCCCCCTCTGGGTCTGGCCTGGGAGGACGCCCCCACTTACAGTGCTCTCGATGCTCCTGGCCGTCTCCCCAAACAGCTCTGACTTGGGGTCGGCCATTTCGGGCGTGTAGAACAGCTCTTGCCCCTCGACCCCCTCCAGCTCCAGCACGCCCTGGTACACCTTGGTGGCTGTGGGAGAAGGGGCGGTGAGGCCCTGCCTGGCACCGCCTGGTGCAGGCCCCTGGAGCAAGCCACGTAGGGTTCAGGGGCAGGTGGATGTTAGTCAGATGGTCATGAGGTTAGTGGGGACCCCGGGGCAGGGCTGGCGACAGTTACCAGGCAGACTCCTCAGAGCAGTTGCCCCAGGCTGGCTTGCAAGGAGAGAGACGGGTTAGCTACACGGTCCTGGGCACGCCCATGTGTTAGGGCTGAGACCACACGTGCGCACACGGGCGCCGGATCCCCAAGATCTCGCACACATCTGAGACCAAAGACCCTAAAACCTGGACCCACCTGCTGCCAGCGGGTAGGAGCAGCACCCACGGCTGCCCAGGCTGCTCCTCAAGCTCCACCTGCCCTGCCACCCACTCACCAGGACAGTTGGAGCCCTCTGCGTCCAGCGAAGGTGTCTGGCCATCCGAACAGCAGCCCAAAGGTGAGTTGTAGCAGGAGGCTCTCTCCATGGGTGGTCCCTGTGTCACCACGCTGCTGTCCATGGAGAGTTCCAGTCCTAGGGATGCGCACTGAGTCCAACCACAGGTGGGAGCCTCCCTGGGCCTGCCCCAAGAAGCCCCTGCTCACCCCAGGCCCACCCACGTCCCCGAGCCCCTGCTCACCCCAGGCCCACCCACGTCCCCGAGCCCCTGCTCACCCCCAGAACCACCCCCACTGGCCTCCTGGTCCCCACTCAGTTCCTCATCGCCACTCCCATCAGTGCTGCCAGACTCTCCAAAGGCAGAGGCGGAGAGACTGGTTGCAGTGGAGGTCTCTATGGGAGGCATGGTCAGCGCCGGCCGAGCTGTGCTCCTGGGGAGGCTGGCTGTGGTCCGAGGTCGTAAGGTGGGTGGAGGGGTGGGCCGGCTCTGGGGGGTACTGCTGGGAGCCAGGGGGAGGGCACTGGGTGGAGGCAGCAGAGGCTCGCTCGGCAAGCGCCCCGGGGCCGTCGTGGCCCTGGAGGTCGGGTGAGCGCCAGGAACCACAGCCTCTGGAAGGAGAGGGAAGCTGGGGCTGGAGTCGGGGCAGGGCCAGGCCCTCCCGTCAGCGCTGGGTGGTGGCTCCAGACCCTACCCTGGCACGGGCCGAGGCTCTGGGTGAAGATGTCCAAGCCCTGGCGGCAGGCGATGGTCTTCAGTTGGCACTCGCTGCCGTAGGTGATGCCATCTGATCCACAGACCTGAGGCGCGAGGCAGGGGCACTCAGGCGGTTCCCCCACCCACTGCCCTTCACACTCTCCACCCTCACCTTGCTCACCTTGGTGGCACTGGCCTCTGGGCAGGTGAGGGCTGGGCAGACGCAGTGGGCAGAACCTGCCTCTTCCACGCAGGAAGCGCCAAACTCACAGTGCATCTCCGCACAGGTCACCGGTGCTGAAGGATCTGGGGTGGACACAGAAACCCCAGCAGCTCAGGCTGTCCCTCTGTACAGCAAACCCCAGGCCAGCCCAGATCTTGTCCTCACCTGCCTCACAGCCGGTGGGGCCCAGGGTGTGGCCATCAGGACACTGCCCGCACTTGGGACCAGCGACGCCCGGCTTACAGGAGCACAGCCCAGTCATCTGCTCACAGTCATCCCGCACGGCACCCCGGGGGTCACAGCTGCAGGCTGCGGGAGGGGAGCCCGAGTCTGTACCTAGACAGTCTTCTCCACCTGCTGCAGAGCCTGCCAGGTGCAGCTCAGGCCAGGGCCTGAGCACAGTGATGGGGGTGGACAGGCAGGAGGACTTGACTGGCAGCCAGCCCTGGGGCCCTGTCACTCACGAGTACAGCCGCTCCGGCCGTCAGTGACAATGCCACGGAAGTTCCAGAAACCAGGCTCACATCGGTCACACTTGAGGCCGCCCACACCTGGCCGGCAAGAGCACTGGCCTGTGGCTGGGTCACAGGTGCCTCCGTAGGAGCCGTGAGGGTTGCACTGGCAGGTGCCTGCAAGGGAAGGGGGGAGGGACAGGGTCAGCACAGTCACACAGCTGTGCCAGGCTCGGGGTGAGGGTACTCAGGTACTCACTGGGGCAACCGGCCAGGCCCACACCCCGGGCAGCAGTGACATTATCCTGGCAGCATCCGTAGGGGGTCTGGGCACATTGAGCGGGGGCTGCAGGCAGCAGTGGGGCCAAGGTGAGGCCTGCAGAGAGGGGTGTGGGGTCAGACTGGAGGCAGTGCTGTATGCCCACCCTCTGCCTCAACCTCCCCCACACCACCACTCAGCCTGACACCAGGCCCCTCAGGTCTGGAATCTGAGGCTGAGACCCTGGGGGAGGCCACCATAATCATACAAGGACATGCAAGTGCCAAATGTAGGACCCAGCACACAGGAAACATACAGGGCCACATACACACAGAGTACCCAAAGTCACGGACACAGCCCTGTGTGTACACAGAGCTATGGACAAACAGTCAAGTGTAAAGGCAGCACACACACATGAAGACGGACACACACTCACATTCCTCCAAACCATGCACATTTATATACAACTGTACAGACACATCTGTGAACATGCATGAGCATACCGTGAGCACTCGTGTGTGACATGTGACATTTACAGACCACTGTCAGTTCCTGCTGCCTCCTGCACAGAAGCCTGGCCTGACCTGCAGTAGGTACTTGGCAGACACTTGCTTCTATGAGGCAGGATCTCACTGCATGGCTCAGGCTGGGCTCAGACTCACAATCCTCCTGCCCACCCTCCCGAGTGTGGTGCCTACTTTGACAGATGGGCTTGTGTCCACAGTGCACGTATCAGTGCTTTATACTCAGAAGAACACACAAGCCCACAAGCACACCACAGCACACATCAGTGCAGGCATGCACCTTTGAATATGCACACACAGAAGCGCAGAGGCTGCTGCACAAGCCCACAAGAGTGTGCCCTGGCCCACTCACCTCGGCAGGGTCCCTGAGCTGCGACGTACAACTCTCCTTGAGACTCGCACCTGGCCCTCTTCAGGTCACACTCACTGCCATAGGTGACCCCATCTGAGCCGCACACCTGGAGGGGTGGGGTCAGCGTGGGCAGCCTTGGCCCCTTCCTCACTGCCCCCCTCTGGCTGGGGGAGGTGGGGGCTCACCAGGCTCCTGAGAACACCCTGGCAGCTGAAGTCGCAGACGCAGGGTCCATCCTCTGAGTCCTCATCCCACACCCCGCCTCGCTGCCGGCAGAGTTCCTGCTCACACTCGCTGTCCTCCCCAGAGCCGGAGCCTCCTGAGCCACACTCAGCTGTGGGGAAGGAGGGCAGTTCACCCACAGGTTCTCCCCTGGGGCTGGCGCCCACAGCCCGGGCAGCTGCCCCAGCCTACCCTGCTCACAGGGCCCTGCCCGGGCTTCCTCAAGCTGTATCTGCTGCTGGCAGGCAGCCTCCCGTAGCTCACACGCACTGCGGTAGGTGACACCGTCGCTGCCACACACGGGGCCAGGCGGGGGGCGCTCACAACGAGGACACACACACTGCCCGGCTGAGCACACAGCCCCAAAGGCACACACTGTGTCTCCACAGGTCTCTGAAACATATGGAGCCGGCAGGGCTCAGCAGACCCAGCTGGAGAGTGGTGGACCCTAGCCCACTGGCCCCCATGGCCCCACTCACGACAGTGTCCAGCTGATGCCACATGCAGGCTTATCTGGTGTGTGCAGGCGTGGACATGCAGCTCACACTCGCTGGCATACGTGTGCCCATCAGAACCGCACACGGGCTGGGCTGAGGCCACGCACTCAGAGGGGCACACACAACGCCCGGTCTCGGCCTCGCACAGGGCTCCAAAACGGCACTGCCCGCATCGGTCTGGGGAGGGGGCTCCGTCACCACTGTGTCAGGAAGGCCATCCCCCCCAGACCTGCTTGTCCACTACTGACCACAGGGTCCTCTGCGGGCCACCCGGATATCCCGCCCAAGGGCACAGGCCATGGCCTCCAGCTCGCAGGTGCTGCCATAGGTGACGCCGTCACTGCCGCACACGGGGTCGTAGGCGCCTGCACACGCCTGCTGGCACTCGCACGCAGCCTCCCCGTTCTTCACGGCGCATGTCGCCCCGAATGCGCACTGCACCCCCCGGCACGGGGACGGAGCCTGGTCTGGGAAGGACAGGGCACTCAGCCCACCTGCTACCCCCTATACTGGGCAAAGCCCCCAGCCCCACGCAGCAGGCCCTCTCCCAGGGTGGGGTGGTCCAGGAAGAGCTAGATGTGCAGGACATAGCAAAGAAAGGGACAGACACACGACAGAGGCAGATGGGGACACAGGAGCCTCCTGACTGCCCACAGCAGGCCACTGACCCCGACCACCAGCAGCCCTGGGACACCCATGCATGTGGGGGCTCTCTCCAGGCTAAGAGGAGTCTGCACCCCAGAGTCACACCCAGGGCTGCACGGGGAGGAGGTGTCTGTCCACTTGCTCTGAGAACCACAAGGCCAGGCAGTAGCGAGCCACCCCCCCCAGCCGCACCAGGGGCAGACCTCGGGCTGTGGGCTCCTGGTGGGCAGGCGCGGCACCTCATCCTGCCAGCAGGTCAGGCTGGAAGACACAAGAGGAGGAGCCGAGAGGGAAGGACCGAGGAGAAGACAGACGCAGAAAGACAGACCAGAAAGATGGACAGAGGACTGACCCAGATGGACACAGGGTCACTGCAGCCCTGGTCCCCATGGGACATGCTGGCCATTTCCCAGCCGCCTCCACCCTCCAATGGCCCCTTAAAATCAACCGAGATCCTGCCTCTGAAGGGGCTGGTGACAGTTATGTCCCAAGGTGAGGGACCCCACCGTGGTGTCCACTTGCTGCCACCCAAGCAATCCATACCCTCAGGCAGGACAGAGGCGATGGGCAGACAGACTAGAGGACCTGCAGCCTGGACTTGCATGGCCAAGTGCAGGCCCATCTCTGGCCGCCTCCCCACGTATCCAGGCACCCTACCCTCCACACCCTGCACCCTCCCAGGGGACCCACCCTGGCCCAAGACCCTGGGAGGTGGGTGCCAAGGGATGAAGATGGCGTGTGATGGTGGGCAAGGACTGATGGCGGGGACCACAGGGTGCTCACCACACGGGCCCTGGTGCCTGGGAGGGATGGCCCGCTGCTGCCGGCACTCAGCCTGCTGGCGCCAACAGTCGTTGTCATACGTGTGCCCATCCTGGGCACACACCGGTCTGTAGGCCCCATCACAGGTGACACGGTCGCAGGAGCAGCGGGGTCGGCCACGGCGGGACAGGCAAACGGCACTGAACTGGCAGGTCCCGGAGCACTGGTCTGGGGGTGGGCAAGGAGATCAGAGAGGCCAGAACCACACCAGCACCTCCACAGCAGGGGCCCGACGGACACGGAGGCAGGGGACACACTGTGTGCAGGGGAAGCCGCCCACCTCGAGGCTGGCACTGGCCAGAGCGCACTTTCTGGAGGAGCAGACCGCGGACAGCCCCTGAGCGGCCCATGACGCAGTCATTTGCATAGGTGACCCCATCATCCCCACACACAGGCAAATGCCGGGGAGGGCAGCTCTCTGGGCGCAGGAGCATCTCTGGACGGCGAGTGCGCGGGTTCACACGGCAGACGCGGCTCGGGTCAGCATGGGCTCCCTGGCAGGGGTCTGGGGGCGGACAGGCAGGAGTCAGGGTGATTGCCTGCGCGCCCAAGGAGAGGAGCACCACATGGGGCGGACACTCACCACAGGGGCCGTCGAACTTCCTAAAGATGTTCTCCTGGCGTGCGCATGCCCGGCGCAGCAGCTGGCACTCACCGGGGTAGTCCATACCATCACTGCCACACACGGTGCCCTCCGGGGCCCCGCGGCAGGTCGTGGGACACAGGCAGGAGGCGGTCTGCCCATCGGCGGAGGGGGCACAGGTGCTGCCGAAGCTGCAGGTCACATTGGAGCAGGGGTCCCGGGAACCTGTGGATGGCAGGGTGGGGTCACCCTGGCTGTCTGTCCACCTCCAACACCTGGCCCACCCCCCCACGCTGGGCACACTCCCTTACCACAGGGTCCGCGGCGGAGCAGGCGGATTCGCCGCTGCAGGCGGCACTGTGCACGCTGCAGCTCGCACTCGTTGCTGTAGGTGGAGGCATCTGAGCCGCACACTGGCGCCACGACGGCAGGACAGGCGCTCTTCTTGCACACGCAGGAGGCCCGGCCTGGATCCTCTGCACTGGGCTCACAGACCGCGCCAAAGCCACACAGCATTCCCCTGCAGACTGAGGTCGGGCACAGGAAGGGGTTGTTGATGCCAGGTCCCAGGGCTGGGCACTGCTGCAGCCCTCACAGGCACATCCACACCCGGGTGTGCAAGCATGTTCAAGCCCACGCGTGGCCACGAGTGTCACGGACACTCTGTTGTGCATGTTCACAGGGCCTGGCCCCTGGGTGGCTCCCTGCCAACCCAGGGGCCTGTCCTCATTGGAGAACACTCTCTCTACCCTCTACCAGGGGAGAGGGGCCTCCTGTCCCCATAACAGGACAAGCCACCCACTCCCATCCCACCTCAGCAGGTTCCCCAACACACAACAGGAGAGGACCCCAGGCCAAGTCCGAAGCAAGCAGTCGAGGCCCCACTCTGCCCAAAGCCCCCTCCCACATCAGCCATCTTGTTACCCCCACGCCGGCCAGGCTCATCCCAACTCAGGCCGTAAGTTTCTGGGGCCTCATCTGGGAGCTGCCTGGGTGTTCCCCATGCCTGACCCCGGCCTCTTCCCAGCTCCTAGCCTTGCCCCACAGCCCCTCCCAGGGCAGCTGCTCTGCACAGCCTCGCGCAACTGTTGGCACAGCTGGGCCTGTCATCTGAGTCTGCCATTTCAGCCCTTGGTTCTGCAGACAGCAGGGTGCAGCCCACGCCCCATCATCATTAGCCCTCCACTGCGTCCCACCGTGTGGGCACAGGGAAAGGCTGGCCCTCTGTCACAGTGTACAAACGGGGACATGGAAACCCAGAGTCGTTAGGGAGAGCCCCAAGGAGCCACCCTGAGCCCAGCACTGGGACTGGGGATACGTGGGCTCCTGAGGTCAGTGTACCCATGGGGGAGGCGGGTCCATTAGGGGTTGCAGCTGCCTGGATCTAATAAATGTTTAATCTGGCTCAATTATCATTAATAAGTCATGGTGTCAGGGCTCCCATCAACTCCCGCAGGTTGTGGAAATGTAGCAGAAGACCCCTCCCCATCTCCTAGGAGAGGAGCAGAGCCCAGGAGCTAGAGCCAGCCGCTGCCATCCCAAAAGCCCACCCCAGGCTTCCACCTGCCTGACCCAACCCTGGCAAGCTGAAAGAACAGAGGCCGCAGCCTGCCTTCCCTGCCCCCACCCGTGTTCCCCTTCCCCCACCTCACTATGCCTCAGTGTCCCTTTCTGTGAACGGGACAATAGGACCTGCTTCCAAATGACTGCAAAGCTCAAGAGGCACTGGGCCCAAGCACCAAGTGGAGGATGAGCTACAACTACAATCACGGATGTCACCACCACTGGCCTCCTCTCTATCCTGGCTGGATCTGGCTCGATCTATGTCTGCAGTGTCCCCTCTTCCTGCCAGGCTGTAAGCTCCCTCCATTTCCCCTTCTCTCTCCCAGTGGCACATCCCTCTGAACGCAGCCCTTTCTGGCCCAGGCTCCTTTGACTCCCAAGCCAAGTCCCATAGGCCCGTGCTGATGCCCAGTGGTGCTCTTGGGCTTCCGCTGGACTTGCTGATCCAGGTCTCCAGTCACCTCCCGGCCCCTGGGCTCCTTAGCTTCTGCTGTCTGTGCCCTGGGCTTTCCCTCTCTCTGTCACCGGATCCACCAGCTCTCTCCCAAGGTCCTGACCCCACAGCGGGGAAGAGCTGTTCTTGGGGAGCAGCACACTCCTCCCCACCACCACCTGGTTCTCACTCCACAGTCCACCCATGTTTCCACTATAAAACCACAGTTAAGAGCACACCATGCAGGTCCCTACTTCTGTCCCCTGCCAGGACAAAGTAACTTCTCTTTTTCCTTGGTTTCAGGTACCGGGGATGGAACCCAGAGATACTCAGGCATGTTCACATTTCTTATTTTTGAGATAGTCTTGGTGAGCTGCCCAGGCTAGCCTTGAACTTGTGACCCTACCAAACTCCCCATAGCAGCTGGATCACATGTGTGACCTCCAGCTGGTCAGAGCAAAGTAACTTCTCAAGTTAATTCAGGAACCCCACTTTCAGGATGGGCCCCACTTTGTCCCATGCTTAGGCTGGGAGAGGGGCTGCTCCCTGGTCCCCTGTTGGTACCTACAGCACGACTGCCCCTTGGCGTGTCTCCCTGGCCCCTGAGACCAGGAGATGGGGAGGGCTGAAGATAAGTTTCTTGATTGAACTTTCTTGAGTCATAAACACAGAGACGACCCCCCCCCCACAGGCCCACCAGC